TGTCTTCAAACGCACGCACGCAACTTATGCTATTTTGCTTTCATCCACCATATGATGAAAGTCGGCGTCCATGCGCAGTAACATCAGTCCGAGCGAACTGTTTTTCGTCTTGATATAATCGTCACTGTCGCGAGTATTCGATAAGGTTGACGTCGTCTCTCGGTTGACCACATGCCACGTTGACTTGGTCTGGAACACGCCACACATGTAGCGGCTCCACGTCGCGAAATTGTCATCAAATTTGTCGATGGAGATCCTGGTAATGGAACCTTGTTCAGAGGACATCTTGCTTGAGCACACAACCTAATAAAGTCTGACGAGCGCTGGGCGAGGATACAAAGGTTGAAGAAAGCTAAAGAAGTCTACACCACAAATTAAAGACGACTTGTGCTGTAGGAGGAACGTTTAGAAGTGATTGATTTACAGGTATCAACTCTGCCTACGCTTGACTGCATCCAATCCCATGGTGCATTTAATTAACCTGATTTACACGCCTCCAATCATCATACGCGTCTAACCAACTCTGAAGTAATCACCGACATAAAAACTATTTCGTATGCACCACGCTCGAGTATCGGATTGTACCAGTTGATGAACTTTAGACTTCTTGGTCCAAGTGCAAAACGCAAAGTGAATATATATTTATAATAGGTACTTAGTTCGCAACTTTGAATACTACCTCTAAGCCTATTATTCGCAGTGACGTCATCCAGTGACGTCACCCACTGACGTCATCAAATGACGTCATTTCCTGACTTCGTCCTTACTGGTACATACCGGTACCCACCGGTATAGCGAAGCTTGGTCTTCCACTTGCTTCAACACTTGACGCAGCTTGACGAGGTGTCTTCTTCACAGCCGCTGTCTTTTCAACATTCTTCACAGCCGCTGTCTTTTCAGCACTCCCTCTCGACTCGTTAGCTGCGGCACCTTGGATCCCAAGTCGATCGCGAATGTTTTCAAATTGTACAGCGGCGATCGGCTTGGTCATCATGTCTGCCAGCATATCTTGAGTCGGGCAATACTCCAAAACGACTTCACCTGATTCCACCTTCTCACGCACAAAATGGTAGCGTATGTCGATGTGTTTTGTTCTCTTATGGAACTCCGGGTTCTTGGCGATAGCGATTGATCCTTGGTTGTCTTCATACATCTTGATCGCTTCGTCGCTTGTCATCTCACCAAGTTCCCCCAAAAGCACCTTGAGCCATACTGCTTCTTTGGTTGCTTCGGAAAGCGCCATGTATTCTGCTTCTGTTGAAGATAGCGCGACCGTCCGTTGTTTCTGGCTTTTCCAGCTGATGCATCCTCCGTTCATCATGAACACATAGCCGCTTGTACTTCGTCTTGACTCAATGTCGCCGGCCCAGTCTGCGTCGGTGTACCCGCAGATACGGCTTCCTTCTTCACGTGTAAACTCAAGACCATGATTGGGCGTTGCTTGCAGGTATCTCAGCACACGCTTCAAAGCTTGCCAGTGAGTCGGGCATGGGTCGGACGAGAACTGGGATAATGATCCCACTGCAGCAGCTAGATCCGGACGTGTGGCGACCATGAGATACATGATGCCTCCGACAGCACTTCGATATGGCACGTTGCACATGGTGTCTTCGTGCTTGCATTCTTGTTCACACATGTTCTTGGTGACCTTCAGACCTGTATCTTGAGGCGTCTTCACTAGCTTGCTGTTATCCATTCCGAACTTGATCAACACGGACTTGATAAACTTGGTTTGTCGCACAGTCACCATTCCAGTCTTGCGGTCGTCCTTGGTCTCCATACCGAGAAAGTAATTGAGCTCACCGAGATCCGTCATTTCGAAGCGTGTGCTCAGCGCCATCTTGGTCGACTTGAGTAGTTTGTTGTTGCTGCTGGCCAGGATGAGATTACCGACGTAGAGCACCACGAGAATCATGTCTTGGTCGTCTCGCTTGATGTAGATGCAGTGGTCCGATTCGCACTTCTTGAATCCCATCTTGATCATGAACCCATCGATTGTTTGGTTCCACATGCGAGGCGATTGCTTCAAGCCGTAGAGTGATCTCTTTAGCTTGCACACATAGTCCGGCTGTGTTGCATCCAGGTATCCGTCCGGCTGGTCCATGTAGATGTCTTCGTTGAGGGGAGCCGTTAAGAAACGCTGTCTTGACGTCCATCTGATGTAGCATTAGGCCGTACTTGGCCGCCATACTGAGCACCACACGAATCGATGTGAACTTGGTCACCGGTGCGAAAGTTTCTTCATAGTCAACTCCGAATTTCTGTGAGAATCCTTTGGCCACAAGTCTTGCCTTGAAACGTTCAACTTCGCCATCTTGATTCTCCTTTACACGAAAAACCCATCGGCACCCGATGGCCTTGCGACCTTTCGGAAGAGGCACGATTTCCCACGTGTCGTTTCTCTGAAGCGAGTCGAACTCCGAGTCACACGCTTCTTTCCACTTGCCGGAGTCGCTTGATTCCATCGCCGACTTGAATGTAGTCGGCGTTTCCCCCACTGAATCAACGATGTAGGCTGCTTCAAAATCCATTGCAGCCGCTGACACATGCTCAAGCGACGGACCTCTGTACGTTCTTCGCTTGGGACTTGGAATGACGGTAGCTTTCTCAAGTGATTGAGTGCGCGTGTGTCTCTTGATGTTGCTCTTCGAAGACCTGGTGTCTTCGTTGTCATCGTCGCTCGAGTCCATGTCGACGTCAGTTTTACCTTCTTCTTTTTCTTCGTCCTCGTCTTGATCATCAAACTCAACGGCACTTGACTGATCGTTGTAGTTGCGCGGACCTTCATCAAACTTGTCTTCCATGAATGTGGCATCGCGACTGATCTTGATCGCTCCTGTTGACACTTCCTCAAATCGATATGACTTCTGGCGTTCGGCGTATCCCAGGAAACGACAGAGTGATGACTTGGAGTCGAACTTCGCGCGTTTGTCTTGAGGCACTTGAACATACGCGTGGCATCCAAACACTTTAAGGTTGGCCAGAATCGGTTTCTTCATCGTCTACACTTGATATGGAGACTTGTCTTGGTGAATGGCACGTGTTGGACAGCGGTTTCGAAGAAACATCGCCGTCATCACTGCTTCACCCCAGTAGCTCTTTCCCAGTCCAGCGTGTTCCATCATGCAACGCGCACACTCGACCAGCGTGCGATTCATTCTCTCAGCTACTCCGTTTAGCTGAGGAGTATATGGGGGTGTGAACCTTTGTTGTATTCCCCGTTCCGCGCAGAATCGTGCCAGCTTGTTGGGCTTGTATTCACCTCCATTGTCGCTTTGAAGGTACTTCACGCGCTTTCCGGTTTGCGTTTCAGCCATCGCAGCGTATTCCATGAACTTCGCCGCAACTTCAGATTTGCTCTTGAGCAGATAGACGACACAGTATCTTGACTTGTCATCGATGAATGTCACGAAGTACCGTTTTCCGCTGAAAGTTGCCATCGACATCGGTCCGCATACGTCGCTGTGAATCACTTCGAGGAGTTTGGAGGTGCGAGCTGTAGTGTTTGATTGGAAGCGCACTCGAGTCTGTTTTCCCAGAGCACAACCTTCACACACGTCCCACTTCTTCACCGAAGATATGTCGATGCCAATTCCAATGTTCTTCGTCACGATGCAATTGAGTCCATCGTGACCAATGTGACCAAGTCGAAGGTGCCAGAGGTACGACGTGGTGTCCCCTTGACATCCCGACGACTTGGCTGCATTTGCTTGTTCCGGCGCCACTGGAGTCATTTGCAGCTTGAACAGTCCTTTACCTTCACGGGCACCAATTTTCCACTTGGTCCCTTTCGCTTCTCCATAGCACCCATCCTTCGTGAACGTCACCGGGCCGACATCCTTGGTGAAGCGGCCGACCGAGAACAGGTTTCTGGATAACTTTGGGATGTGCCACACGTTTGTGAGCACACCTTTCTTCATCCCTTGGGGTGTCTTCATCGACATGACAATGTCCCCACTGCCGATTGCTTTGACGATTCCATCATCCGCGAGATGGACATCCACAGCGTCAAACCCCTTGTAGTTCCGCATGAACTTCTTGGAGCACGTCATGTGCTGCGTCGCCCCGGATTCGACCAGCCAGATGTCGCTCGATTTTGCAGATGTCGTTTCACCGATCGAAAAAAGGTAGTCGCCCGAGTCTTCTTCTTGAGCGACGTTTGCACGTTGTGATCGATAGCGGTCGCCGCTGTCTTGAGCACGCTGTGGCCGGTGTCTCTCCGTGTTTTCTTGGATGCGCGAGGGGCACTCCGCCATCCAGTGACCAATCTTTCCGCAATTGTGGCACGGCCAGGACTTCTTCACTGGTCGCCCTTTGCGCTGATTGTCCCTTGTGATGAACGCTTGACCTTGCGAAGCTTCATCACCTTTACTTCCTTGCTCCTTCCGCTTCATTTCTTCATGAAGCAGTCGAGACGTCACGAGCTCCCAGCTAAGAGTGTCTGAGCGCGACTCCAAAGCTGTGATCAAGAATTGATACGAGTCACTCAGGCTGCCGAGAAGTGTGATCACCAGATCGTCCTCGCAGACTGGAGCCCCCCACCGCTTCTAGCTGTTCCGCCAGCGTCTTGAGCTTGTTGATGTGTTCGAGCACATCGTCGCCTTCTTCCATCATTGTCGTGAAGAAGCGACGGCGCAAGAACAGCTTGTTGGCAAGACTCTTCTTCTCGAAGTGGTCTTCCAACCTTGACCATGCGTCGCATGCACCACTTGCCGACCGGACCAACGGTAGCTGGGAATCTTCCATGGCTAGACAGATCACTGCCATCGCCTTTCTTGACTTCCTCTTGTACGTCGCTTGGTCCAACTGAGTCTCGCACTATTCCGCCTTGATCTAACCGCTGACGACCTCCCATAGGTCCCGTTCTCCAGCACCATCTGCATCTTGAACTTCCAGGCGTGGAAGTTAGTTCCATCGAACTTGGAGATGCGGAGGGAGGAGGCGTCCAGGGCAGCTAAGCTTGAATTGTTGGCGGTTTCAGAGTCTGACGAACTTGGGCTCATAACCTGATGAACTTTAGACTTCTTGGTCCGAGTGCAAAACGCAAAGTGAATATATATTTATAATAGGTACTTAGTTCGCAACTTCGAATACTACCTCTAAGCCTATTATTCGCAGTGACGTCACCCACTGACGTCACCCACTGACGTCATCCAATGACGTCATTTCCTGACTTCGTCCTTACTGGTACATACCGGTACCCACCGGTATAGCGAAGCTTGGTCTTCCACTTGCTTCAACACTTGACGCAGCTTGACGAGGTGTCTTCTTCACAGCCGCTGTCTTTTCAACACCAGTAACCTTCAATGCACACCCTCAATGCACACTCTCAATGCAGACATGCGTGAATGTCGAGAGCCGCCGTCATGTCTTTGTGGCGTGTTCTAGTAGTCCCTTCGTCTTGCTGTCCGCCAATATATTCGTCGTCTCACAAGAGTCCAGCTTGACTTTCCCGCGCTTAACCTCATTACGGATGTAATGGTACTTGATTTTGATGTGCTTGGCTTGACCATGGTTCACCGGGTTCGTCGTCATCTTGATGCAGGACTGGTTGTCTTCCGTAATCTTGAGCTCGGACTTGGACGTTCCCGCTGCGGAATCTAGGTTTCGCGCAGCAAGCGATGCACCCACTTGCCTTCTTGAATCGCCAGACTTAGAGCGATATACTCGGCTTCACTTGTTGACAATTACACACTTGGTTGCTTCTTGCTATCACAGCTCACCGGAGCACACATGATCATGAATGCGTCTCTCTAAGTAGACTTGCGATACACATAGTCGCCAGCCCAGTCTGCATCCGAGTAGCCGTAGAAGTCCACCTTGTCGTCGAGTTTGGAGCAGATGCCGAGCGATTTGTATCCATGCAAGCATTGCACAATACGCTTGACCGACATCCAGTGCTCGACTTGCGGTTTCTCCATGAAGCGCGAAACATAGATCACAGTCAAGGCAATGCCCGGTCGTGTCGCGATCGTCAAGTGCATTAACGCACCCACTGCTTGATGAAACAGAGCGTCGATATTGGTCACTGCGTTACTTGGTGGAGTCGAGGGGTGATGTCCGTTGGGCTGATGACAGCTTTGCAATTGTTCACGCCGAACCGCTTCAGAACATCGGCTACGTATCGTCGCTGGCACATCGTCACGCTGACTTCATCCTTTACCGTCTCGATACCCAAAACAAAAGAACACTTGCCTCCGTCAGGCATCTCGAAATGCGACTTCAAGTCGTACGCGCAATCATTTCGGTCGAGCTGCCAATCACCAACACATCATCGACGTAGACCAGCAAAACACGCACTGTCCGCTTGCGACCTTGAAATCGATGCATGGGTCAAAGTCGGACGCTTGAAATCTGATAGAGCAGACGGGTCATGGAAAGTTTCTTTCCACACCCGTGAAGCTTGTTTAGTCTGTAGATTGCTTTCACCATCTCGAAGCAGTCAAAGTCTACGTTGACTTCTACACCCTCTAAGACCGCGCAAAACACTGGTCCCTTTATTTCACCATGCAGATAAGTTGTCACCACATCTAGTTGTTCCATCTTCCAGTAAGTACTCGTGATCACTATCACCATACGAAGCGTCACATACTTGACGCCTGGCGAGAACGTCTCCGTGAAGTCAGTGTCATTTCTTGTCTTGAACCCTTATGCCACGAGACGCGCCTTGTACTTTTCGATCGATTCATCAGCCTCGCGCTCGATCTTAAACACCCACTTGGTACCAATGGTGTGCTGTCCAGATGACAGCTTGGTCCCTCGGAACACGCCACGTAGCTTCATTGAGTCCAACTCGGCGCAAATTGCATTACGACAATGAACTCGATCCGGACCACTACCCGCGTGTTGAAACGTTGTCAGCTCGGACAAGTCAGTACCTTTGGCTGCCTTGGCACTTGCTTGCCAAAATACTGGAGGAGATTCATCATCGTCATCTTCATCACCGCCTTTTCGCTCTTCTTCTGGATTGGCGCGAGTTCTTTAGCGCCGTTTCGCTTGATGCGACTCAAAATCATCTGGGTGCACTTGCTTCTTTCAACCCGGCTCCACTGCGATTCGGAAGTGTCCGTTGATAGACTTTTTCATGGCAGTTTGAACGGCTCTTTCGCTTTCTATTGTGCTTGAACTGCATGGTGCAAAGCTCATCAATGGTGTCCATCGCGTCGAAATCCAGCGCAGTGTCATCGACAACTTTTTGTGGCAGTGCCCGTGATAATCCAAACGTTGAATCGTCAAAGGCGACATCACGCGATATTACCACTTGATCTGCTTTAATTTCGTAAATGCGGTATACTTTCAACACTTCTTTGTAACCCATGAACATCCTTCTCAAGTCTTCGTGTCCCACTTCGATCGCTTTTCTTTGGGGTCAACACGAACGCTCGGTATTCAAAAACTCGCATGTGCTTCACACTTGGCCGCAACCTTTGATGATCTCGAACGGAGTTCAGTCTTAGTAGTTAGGAGAAACGTCGATCGCTTTTCTTTGGGGTCAACACGAACGCTCGGTATTTAAAAACTCGCATGTGCTTCACACTTGGCCGCAACCTTTGATGATCTCGAACGGAGTTCAGTCTTAGTAGTTAGGAGAAACGTCGATCGCTTTTCTTTGGGGTCAACACGAACGCTCGGTATTTAAAAACTCGCATGTGCTTCACACTTGGCCGCAACCTTTGATGATCTCGAACGGAGTTCAGTCTTGGTACTTCGGCGAAGGCAGGCGATTCTTGACGTAGATCGCCGTCATTGTTGCCTCGTCCCAAAACACTTGTCCACTTTTGAGTCGTGAAGCATGCTGCGGCCGATTGTCACGATGATCCGAATCTCTTGTTTTGCTTTGCCATTAGTCTAGTGCGCATATGGAACGGTGACCTGCTGCTCGATTCCTTGATCATCGTAGAACGCCTTGAGCGAAGGCGTCGCAAACTCACGTGCAACATTGTGCCGAGCATATTTAATCGTGCAGTCATACTGCATCTGGACCGCCACGATGTACTTCTTGATGCACGTTTCACTGTCGAACTTGGTGCGCAGACTGAATCCCTTCATGCATCCACTGCTTTCATCTACTATCATCAGCAATTACTTGGCTCCAACTAACGAGTCGGCTTCCATCGGGTCACACGTGTCGATGTGCAGAAGCTCAAACGGATCATAGTGACGCTCGTTCGGGATGCTTTGAAACGGTTGCTGCACCATTTATTCTTCTTGAAAACCACGACGCACGCTTGATTCGCTTGATCTTGGTGGTATCTTGACATCCTTTATCATGTTCTTGGAAACCATCCTGTACAGGACCTCAGTTGGTGCGTGGCCCATACGCGCATGATGATCTTCGTCTCTTGATCGCAATGTAGCATTCACGGACTTTTGCAGTGTACGAAGCCAGTCGATTCCGTCTACAAGTTCTGCCATTGCCATCACTTGCTCGGAGTCTTTGTGTAAAATCTTCATCCCGGCACCATGGAACATCACTTAAGCTTTGCAGCTCTTATTGATTTGCGGAATTGACAGCAGATTTTTTTCTCATTCTTGGGACGCAAAGCGCGTTCTCGATCTCGCGCTCTTCACTGTTTCGCGGGACCTTGCCTTGTTCCCATCTAAGACCAACGCTTTGCCTTCATTGCGCTCGTCCGGAAATTTGAACTTGTTCTTGTCATGGCAGATGTGTTGCGCCGTGTTGACGGTGATCGGTTTCTACCAGTATCGGTAACCGTGACCGGTCCAATCCGAACCGCCTGTTCAGCTTAGTATTTACGACGTAGTTCTTACGGTAATCACCATAGTTGATTAGACGCGTAGGATGATGAGACGCTTCACATGATTTATATGTGCACCACATATAAATCATGTAGTAAGTAGTAAGCCCCGATAATCAATCACTTTTGTTGCATTGTAGATTGTAAGAAGTAGGAGTTAAGTAAAGTAAATGACTTGTATATTACCGCGCACCAGACGCGTTTCGGCCCCCCGCCGGGGGCCTCATCAGTGGTTTGTCAATCTACAAGTGAGAACTATCCATACGTCTAGCTGCCGTACGACCTATAATAATGCATAGAACCCTAAAGAACATTCTAGACATACCCTATCATGGGTCGAATCTCTGGAGTCGAATCCAGTGCATCATGCACTTACAACATAGATCGGAGCGAGGAAAGCGGACCGAACGGAGCGGAGAGACCGAAGAGAGTAGAGCAGAAAACACTTGCCCAATAGTTGGAAGATTCGAAAGTGATTGATTATCGGGACTTACTACTTACTACATGATTTATATGTGGTGTACATATAAATCATGTGAAGCGTCTCATCATCCTACGCGTCTAATCAACTATGGTAATTACCGTAAGAACTACGTCGTAAATACTAGGCTGAACAGGCGGTTCGGATTGGACCGGTCACGGTTACCAACACTGGTAGAAAACCGATGACCGTCAACACGCCCCCTCAATCCGAATGCTCACGAATCCCGAGAGCCGTCGTCATCTCCTTGTGGCGTGGTCCATGAAGTCCCTTCGTCATGATGTCCGCTAACATCACCGCAGTTTCACAATACTTGAGCTTCACTTCACCGCGCTTGACCTCATCACGGATGTGATGGTACTTGATATCAATGTGCTTGGCACGGCCGTGGTTGACCGGGTTCTTCGTCATCTTGATACATGACTGATTGTCTTCATGAATCATGAGTTCCGGTCCTTCTTCATTGGCAGCCATCACGATCTCACAAAGCAGACGATGAATCCACTTGCCCTCTTGAATCGCCAAGCTGAGTGCGATGTATTCAGCTTCAGTCGTGGACAACGAAACACTTGGCTGCTTCTTGCTGCCCCAACTCACTGGCGCACCGAGTAGCATGAACGTGTACCCCGATGTTGACTTGCGGTCGGTAAGATCACCAGCCCAATCCGCATCCGAATATCCACGGAAGTCGATCCTTGCACTTGGCTTGTAGCAAATTCCATGCGTCTTAGTGCCTTGTAGGTAGCGAAAAATACGCTTAACTGCAACCCAGTGTTCTTCTTGGGGATTTTCCATGAACCGCGACACATAGCCCACAGCAAACGCAATGTCCGGACGCGTTGCAGTGGTCAGGTGCATCAACGCACCAACAGCTTCGCGAAAAGGAGCATCGACCTTGGTAGCTGCATTGCTTGAAATAAGTCGAGAGCTCATGTCCACTGGACTTGACACAGCCTTGCAATCATCCATGCCAAAGCGCTTGAGGATATCATCGACATACCGACGCTGACATAGTGTCACACTGCCATCTTCACCGTCCAAAAGCTCGATCCCAAGAACAAACGCACACTTGCCGCTATCAGTCATCTCGAAGCGTGTCTTCAGGTCTTCCTTGGTGTGTGCAATCAACTCGGGTGAGCTTCCTGTCACCAACACGTCATCCACATAGACCAGTATAAACACGCAATGGCCGTCCGATGTCTTGATGTAGAGACATGGGTCGAAGCCTGACACTTGAAATCCAATGGAACACACACACTCGTCAAAAGTCTCGTTCCATACTCGCAAAGCTTGCT